CTACAACGAATCATAGCAAAAAAAGATATTTAATATATCCAACTCCCTACCTGACACCTGCACTATAATAGGTATCTCTCATTTAACCTGCTCCCCACATCTCCCCTTTCCTTAGTATTCTTCCTTTCAGTAAAGGCCACCACCATTCACCTGCTTGACTCCTCTCTTTGTGTCACATTTGATACCTGTAAACAAATCCTGTGAGCTCTACTTTCAAAATGTATCTGAAATAAGACTACTTATGGCTTCCACTGCTGAGAAACTAGTCCAATCTTTTTTTTTTTTTAGATTTTATTTATTTATTCATGAGAGATACACAGGGGGTGGGGGTGGGGGTGGAGAGGCAGAAGGAGAAGCAGGATCCATGCAGGGAGCTTGACATGGGACTCAATCCTAGGTCTCCAGGATCACGCCCTGGGCTGAAGGCAGCACTAAACTGCTGAGCCACCCCGCCTACCCGAAACTAGTCCAATCTAAGCCATCACCATCCCTTGCCTCTGTAATATCTTCTACATGGTCTTATAGGTGCTTAAGTCACAACTTTTCCATGAAATCAAAATATTTCCCCCTTAATATCTATTTAGTGGCTGGAGTGACCTTTTGAAAATTTGAGTTCATGTCAGTCTCCTTGTCCGTGGAACAGAAAAGGAAGTCCAGGAATAAACAAACAATATATATATATATATATATGTACAAAATAGGGTGGTATATAATAAAATTATTTCAAAAGTGATGGGGCACTGGGTATTTTGAAAATAAATTTGGATGGCTAACTGACATGCACATAAAATTTTTCCAGAAAGAATAAAAATTTTGCTTTTTTAAAAAAGATTTACTTATTTGAGAGAGAGGGTATGCATATGAGGGTGCAAGTGTAGGAAGGGGCAGAGGGAGAGAATCTTCAAGCAGACTCCCTTCCGAGCACTGAGCCCACCTCATAGCCATGAGATCATGACATGAGCAGAAACCAAGAGTCAGATGCCTAACCAACTGAGCCACCCAGGTGCCCCCCAAATTTTGCATCTTTTAAAAGGCAGTGCTGGAGGCAGCTGGGTGGCTCAGTCAGTTAAGCATCTGCCTTCCGCTGGTGTCAGGATCCCAGGGTCTTGGGACAGAGTCCAACCTCAGACTCCCTGCTTGATGGGGAGCCTGCTTCTCCTTCACCCTCTGCGGCTCCCCCTGCTTGTGCTTACTCTGTATCAAATAAGTAAATAAAATCTTCCTAAAAAATAAACAAAAGGCAGTGCTGTTAGAATATATAGATTGATGTTTATATAATTTGAGGATAAAGAGAACCAGATCAAGGGACCAAATGCTATCACCTAAAAGAACAATGAATAGTTTTTTTTTTTAAGATTTTATGTATTTATTCATGAGAGACACACACAGAGAGAAGCACAGACAGAAGCAAACGGAAAAGCAGGCTCCCTGCGGGGAGCCTGATGCAGGACTCGATCCCAGGACCCAGGGATCATGATCTGAGGCGAAGGCAGATAGATGCTCAATCACTGAGCCACCCAGGCGTCCCCAATGATAGCTTTTTGCTGAATTAGCATTAAAGCGGCTTTTGATGGAAAAAAATTCCTCCCCAATATGAAGTAAAAAGACAAATTATAAAGAGAAGAACATACAGTATCTAATAAATACATGTCTAACGACATGGAGAAATGCCTATTTCATAAAGTTTAAGGGTAGACCTCAGATCACAAAACAATACATGGCAGATCTCAGAATTTTGCCTGGAAAAAAAATTGGAACAAATTTATATCTAGGTTGTATTTTCATTTTTTTAAATAGTGTGAACACATATTAGTTGTATAATCATCTTGAAGCTGAAGTTAACTAGCCTCATTGATGGGGAAACAGTGGTTCCCTCAAGGGATGGTGGTGACTTGCTGGGGTGGGGGGACCAGGATTCGTTCCTCAGAGGGCTGAGGGGACCCCTAATCTCCCCGAGTGAGGACCTGGCCGGCAGCCTCCACAGCCTCGCCCCGTCCGGGCAGGGGCGCCGCGGGACTGGGGCGGCCACACGGAGCGTCTTCCCGGCTTCAGGCCCGGGAGCTTCGAGGACCCTCCGCAACCGCTGGCCCCGGAGAAAGGCCCGCGCGCGCTCTCCGAGGTTAAGGGAGCGAGAGGAAATAGAGCAGCGGCCTGGGGCCCGTTCCGTTTCTGCCTGCAGGGCGGGAGCAGGCGCCCTCTCCTCCGCAGCCCTGGTCAGACCTCTCCTGGAGCTGAAGGTGTGAGCGAGGGGAAACCTTTCAGAAGGGGCGGGCAAGGTCGAGGGGCCCTCCGGTCAAAATCGCACTGGAATTCCGCCTTTTTATCTTTATCCGTGCCTGGAGGGGAAAAGTAGATGGTAGACAAGACCGAAAGTCCTGCAATCATACTGATTCTCTACTTTTTTAGAGAAAATTCTAAGTTCTAGTTGGGGTCTAGAGTAAAAGGTATCACTTTTTTTTTTTTTAATTGCAAAAGTCTTAATGTCACAGATCTTCGAGATGTATTTTGCTCTATCTTATGAGTAATTTAAAATACAGAAAAGTACCTGTAAATACCATTTTAGATATGCTTGTCCTCAGCACCTCTCACCAAGAATGTTAAATTATTTGCTGGTCAACTGCGCAAGGGGCAAAAATTAGCTGATCAAATTAAAACCAAAACTAAAATGAAAAGTTGACACAAAATTCCTCTTTTCAAAAATAGACGTTATTTCCAAAAAGCAGTTTTAGGTCCATAGCACAGTTGATCTGTGAGTCCACAGATTTTCTATAAACTTCCAACTACCTCCTCTCTCCCAACCCCTATTACACAGCCTTTCTCACTATCAACATCCATCACCATACTGGTACATTTGTTACTATAATGAACCCACATAGACACATAACTATCACTCAAAGTCCATAGTTTACCTTAGGGTTCATTTGGCTTCTACAATGAGTTAGGAGGTATTTCCTCTGCTTCTATCTTCTGGAAGAGATTGTAGAGAATTGGTATAATTTCTTCCTTATATTTGGTAGAATTCTTTATGTGGCAGAATGAAGTGAAGTATTCAGAAAGTAGAACAATACTGGGGACACCTGGCTGGCTCTCCATAGAGCTTGCAACTCTTGATCTGAGGGTTATGAGTTCAAGTCCTACAACGCATGTAGAAATTACTCAAAAATAAAAAACAAAACAAAAAAATTTAAAACAAAAAACCCCCCAACAAACAAAGAAAATAGAACTATAGTTAAAATTTTAAATGCTCTATGAAAGACACTGTTATGAGAATGAAAAGACAAGCCACAGGTTCAGAGAGCTTAGAGGGAAATTTATAGTCTTGAATGCATATATTAGAAAAGAAGAAAAATCTAAAATCAAACATCTAAGTTTACATCTTAGGAAACTAAAAAAAGAAGAGCAAATTACAAAGTAAGCAGAAGAAAAGAAATAATAAAAATTAGAGTAAATATCAATGAAAATGAAAGCAGAAAATCAATAGAGAAAATGGATCAACCTAAAAGCTGGTTCTTTGAAAAGAGCAATCAAATCAGAAACTTCTAGCCAGGCCAACATAGAAAAAAAGAAACAAGACACTAATTACTAATATCAAAAATGAAAAAGGGGACATCACTACGTATCCCATGGACTTTAAAGAGATAATGAAAGCATACTATGAACAACTCTATGTCCATAAATTTGATAGATGAAATGAATCAATTCCTTGAAAGACACAATCTGCCAAAACTCACAAGTAGAAATAAACTGAATAGGAAAAAAAATTAAGAAATTAAATCACTTAATTTTACAAAACAGAAAGGACCAGGCCCAGATTTATTCACTAGTGATTTGCACAAAACATTTTAAGAAGAAATCATACCAATTTTCTACAATCTTTTCCAGAAAACAGAAGATAAACAAAATTTCCTCATTAACCCAATACCAAAACCAAAGACATTGCAAGAAAACTAGATCTCTTTCTCATGAGAAAAAAATCCTCAAACAGAATATTAGCATTAGATTAGACTAGTCTAGCCTAGATTGGATTGAAAATCTAGTTCCTGACTGCTGTAATAGCACTGTAATCCTATTTCTCCAGAGAAGATTACATTAAAGAGTTACGATTAATCCCATATGAGTTAATCCCATTCACCTTGTATGGACCAGGTTTAGTCACAGTTTATTTTCTTTGTTTCTTTTCTTTCTTTTCTTTCTTTCCTCCGCAGGGACAACAGATCCTAATGTAATAAACAACTACCTTGTTTGATGGTGAATGAACCGGGTTTGTTTAGGCAATTCAGAGATCCTAATCAAAGCAGGGGCACTCCTAGCTGGCTTGCATCACTGAAATATGTCCAGCCACAGCCACTGTGCAACAATGGGAGTGCTTCAAACATTTATTATATTTATTTCGTTATCTCTAACACCACAGCAAGTATTCAGGTCAAGTGTTGCGTGAAGCGTTGAAGTAGCATTTTTCAGCCCAGGGATTTTAAAACTGTGGGTCCTTATATTGTGTGGACCAAAACCAATATTTAAAAAATGAATATAGGTTTAAATATACCATAGTGCTCCTCTTATAACAATAATAGATGCTGTTTTGTCAACGTTTTGTTTCAAATTTTTTTAATGTAGTACTGGATCAGGTTGTGAAAGGGACTGATGTTTCCGAGTCCCTGAGATGGTGGGTGTTTCGGGTGGGATTTCAGTAGGGCAAGACGTAAAAACAGCCCGAGGGTGTCCCACGCCTAAAAAGGAACTTAAAGCCGGCGCCTTGACTAGTTCAAGGAGCGCTCACACGATTAAGAGAGTGGATTGGCCCAACCGTAAAGGTCCCGCCCAGAACATCTTGTCGACCAATGGATGTGCGGCCAGGGCGGGGAGGGGCGGGGCGAGCCTCGAGCGGGCTCCTTAAGTAGCGGCTGCGTGGATGCCCTCGTAGAAAGGCACGACGGCACGGTGGAGTGGTGCAGGCCCCGAGCGGAGCGACGTCGGACACGCCGGATCTTCCTTACGGAACCATGTCGAGACAAGAAGCAGGCGCCAACGCCTCCTCATGGGTCGTTGCTTCTCGGCGAAGCTCGGCAGTGTCCCGGGCTCCAGAGAGGAGGCCGGCGGAGGACCCGAATCGAAGAAGTAGGGAGGCCAGTAGGGGCGGCAGGGGCGGCGTCTGGAAGAACTCCGGCCTCCAGCAGCCTGTGGCCGCCGGCCCGCGGGAACCGCCGCTCTGCTTCGGATTGAAGAACGTGTGGGTCGGCGCTGTGATCGGTGAGCGAAAGGAGGACCAGTGTGCCGGCGGCGGCGGGGGCGGCGGCGGCGGCGGCGGCGGCGGCCGGAGGGGGGGGGGAACCCGGGGAGGGCATTCCCCGCCCCGCTGCCCTCGCCTAGGGGATTCAGCGCGTTCCCTGCGGCATTTATGATAGCTCGTGATGCTACAACTATGTCGTTCAATGCATCTTTTGATATTTCGTGGGGACGATGTTTTTGGTAGATTAAAGTCATATATTTATGAAATCTTTGGGACGAAAGGTCAGCCCTTTCCTTGGCTTACCCCAAAATGAGCAGCAAAGCAATGCTGAGTACGATCCTTGAGCTCCGTTTTAGAGACATTAAAGAAGGTGTAGGATATTATAGGGTTATTCAGAACATTGGCTCTATCTTGCAGGTAGTTTCTCTTGAATATGCTTTATCTGTTGAAAAACGGGATCTTGGGGATCCCTGGGTGGCTCAGCGGTTTGGCGCCTGCCTTTGGTCCATGGCGCGATCCTGGAGTCCCAGGATCGAGTCCCACGTCGGGCTCCCGGCATGGAGCCTGCTTCTCCCTCCTCCTGTGCCTCTGCCTCTCACTCTATCATGAATAAATAAATCTTAAAAAAACCGGGATCTTAGTACGTCTTGAGTCTTACAATTCGCTTTTGAAAAACACTTAGAAACGATAGGACGATTACCCCATTTGTGGCCATTAAGACTGAGGGTAAATTCCAGTATTTTGCCTGTTAGGTATGGGAACTAATATTTTTGTTTTACCCTTTTTAAACCTGTTTTTGAAGAACAATGACCACATTTTTTAGGCTGCTACTCAATATAGAACATTAGACTGGTTTGCTCGACCAGGTAGTTCTTGTTCCCTCAAGGAGGCTCAGGCTCAAAGATCTGAAGAGTGTTGCTCTATAAATGAAAGCCCCTAGGCTTGCACTAAAACACCCTCTCAACACTTATTGAACACCTGTGACTGGAGGCACTGCTAGAGAACACCCACTTAATGTCGGTTCTGGAACCATGATTTTTCTTACTGCATTAAAAATAAATGTAAGTTTATAAGCGCAGTGTGCTATATAGTACTGTTAACTATAAGAACAATGTTGTGTGAGATCTCTAAAATGTCTTTGATTAGGTTGACAAATACCCATTGAACAACTAATTCCCCATTTCCTCATCTCTGGCAAATGCCATTCTACTTTGTTTCTGTGTTTATATGGTCATGCACTTTGTTTTTTGTGATTGGTATTTCATTTAGCATAACACCAAGGTTCATGTTGCAAATGATAGGATTTCCTTTTTTAAGGCTGAGATTTCTAGCATGTTGAGCATGTTTCTTCATCCAGTTATCTGATAGGCAAATTGTTCCCACTTTATGACTTTTGTGGAAAATGATGTAATGAACACAGGAGTATATCTCTGCGATACTGATTTTCCTTTAGGTATATATCCATAAGCAGAGTTGCTGGGCATATATGGTAGTTATATTTTTAGTTTATTGGGGGAAACTCCATACCTGTACCAATATACATTCCCACCAACAGTGCACAAGGCTTCCCTTCACATTCTCAACACTTGTATTTTTTCTTTAAATATTTGTGAGCAGAGCGAGAGCATGAGTAGGGGGCAGGCAGAGGGAGAAGCAGACTCCCTTCAGAATAGGGGGCTATGTGCTCGCTTTGGCAGCACATATACAGAATAGGGGGCCAGTTGCTGGGCTCCATCCCAGCTCCCTGGGATCATGATCTGAGGCACTCCTGTCTTGTATTTTTGATGGCCATTCTAAGATGTATGAAGTGATACCCAGTTGTGGTTTTTATTACAACTTAAATTTTTTTTTTAAAAAACAGGTCGTGGCGGGTCTAAAATAAAAGACCTCCAAAGTACAACAAACACGAAAATACAGGTAAGTGGTCTGGGTTCTTAATTCCTCAAAGCATTATTCATTTATAACTCTAATTCTGTTAACATACTGTGGTAATTTAGATAAGTTGCCAAAGCTCTTTAGACTGCTATATTCCAGGAATGGTCATACTATGGTCCATTCTAGGTCTAGGTTTTGTGACTCCTGGAGGTAAAGATCTTTAGAGATAATCTCCCTGACAAATGAGATCTTTGGGGGAATACTCATGTGCTTCCTGGCTCCCACCCCTCAAACCTTGCCCTGCTGTGGAACACAGCAACATCATTCACCCAGTTCCCAAGCTGGAAGTCTCATTACTTCTCCTTATCCTGCAACCAGTGCATCACTGAGTTCTTCCTACTTCTGTATTTCTCAAGGGGAATCACATCACTTGCCAGATTCTCTCTAACTGTCCCTCCTGCTTATTGTCTCCCCGCCCCTGCCCCCCTCCTCTAACCATTCTCTACTATGACCAGGGCAATCTTCTAAAACACAAATTGTTTTTCCTGTATAAAAACTATTCATATTTCACTCTTTAAGAAGTCTAGACTTAGCATGATTCACTTGATCTGACTCTTGACTTCCAGCCTCCTTTCTCTTCACTCCCTCCCTGAAATCCCTCTTCACATCTCCAGCTGGCCTCCAGGCACATTCTCCTAGCTTAGCTTAGAACTCCTGCTCACTGGGAAGATCTAAGACCTCCCGCATCCCCATTCTATGTAGGTCTCTTTTCCAGTTTCCCAGCATCTGTTTCAGCCTCATTTAAGAATTTCTAGAGTTGTGTCTATAAACAGTGCAAATGGCAAGCTTTGTTTGAATCACCAGCCTAAGATAGCATTTGGTTCAGCAGTGTGTATTTTTTGTGAATCAGTGAGGGCATCTGAGATTATGTACATTTAAAGATGTGATTTGTGTATCCTATGCTCCAAATGTCATGTTAGCCTTGTAGTATGATGGCTTCCACTACCATAGATGTGGTATAAGTATAGCATTCCCTCGAGGTAAGTTTACATAGGCAGCCTGACAGTTCAATCAGCTATTTATAAAGCACACCGATTAATGCCTGCAGTTTGTAATATTTGCCAAATTACCGTTTAATAGTTAAGATGTCAGGTGAATGCCTTAATTTTGTAATAAGTAGTTGCTGAGCTTATTCCCTAGTGGTCACAGTACTTTTTAAATTTAGATTGTCCAAAAATAAAATAAAATAAAATGAAATAAATTTAGATTGTCCAGCTCCTTTTCATCCAACCAGGAGGTAAATCTCAGGATAAATTTGTTAAATGTAGAATGCCTTCAAAAATTAGAACATTAAAAAAAAATTAGAACATAATACTGATTGGAAGCAATACTATACTTTAAATTTTAATACTGTTTGTAGTTGAGTGGTGTTTTTTTTGGAGTAGGGCATGGTAAGAGGACTTCAGTCTCATTTTTTCTCCTGCATCTAGATAATAAAAGCTTATCCGGAAGCAGAGGTCAGAATTTTTGGGAACAAGTTGATGCAAGCAAAGGCCAAAACAGCGATAGATAATCTTGTTAAAAAACAAGAAAATTACAATTCGAAATCCAGAATTGGTAAGTAATTTCTGCCTACTAGAGTTTTGTAAAATTTTTACAGTTGCATTCAGCGTGGTAAGGCATTATAATTACTTTTCCTGACAAGATTTCTTGTCTGTTACTGTCTTTGAAATCTCAGAATATTGTTTCCGTGAAATTAAAATACTTTATTTCTGTGGTTAAGCCTAGCAGTTTCACTTTCAGACACAGATAAGTGAAAAAAAATTATAATACACTATTAGTGGTAGAAGGGTTAGTCCTGCCTTTTTGATTCTATTATCTCTCCCCAAGAATGTGACTGATTTTGAAAACTGCACAATTTGATATTTAAAAATCTTCAGGGCATCTCGTTTCCTCAGAGTATGATTCTTGATTTTTGGGGTCATGAGTTCAAGCCTCATATTGGGCATAGAGTTCACTTAAAAATCACAGATTTAATTTTAAATAAATCTCGGATCTGCTTAGACGAGAGAACCATTATTGAGCCATTTCCAGAAACAATGTGGAAGAACAACATCTTTGGTTCAGATGGCAGCCTCTTGGTGTTTCTTGGTACAGGAACTCTAGGAAGCCTTTAAAACTCTTCATCTGGGGAAGCCTGGGGTAGCTAGGTGGTTTAGTGGCTTCCTTTGGTTCAGGTCCTGATCCCAGGGTAGGATGAATCCTGCATCTGGCTCCCCAAAGGGATACTGCTCCTGCCTATGTCATGAATCAGTAAATAAAAATAAAGTAAAATAAAATATCTGTTAACCTGGGGTGACATCTGCATCATAGGATTATTCTGAAGATTGGTATGTGATTTGTTAGCAAACCTAGGCTCTCATACTATTTTCCTTCAATAAATTTGTTTTCCATTTCATGAATCTGATAACTGCCAGACCATGACTAGTATTATAGCACTGTAGTACTAAAACCCACATTTTATGTTTTAAGCATTACTTTGTTTTTTTTTTTAATTTATTTTTAATTTTTAATTTTTTTTTTTACTCTTTGGTTTTTAAACACAAAATAGTAAAGTGGTTTGGGGGAATTTGTACAATTAGCATATTCAAACTAATTTGGTAAAAATATTTTAACAGATATTGTTGAATTCCAACCTTCTGTTGGAAGAGATGTAAGGACAGATAGTAATGTTACAGAGAATCAGCCAGTGATTGATTGGGATCAAATTCGAGAAGATGCTTTGAAATGGGGGAGAAAAAAGTGGGAAGGTTAGTGCTATATCCTACTGTTTACTTATAGTGTTGATGTACCTCTTGAGGTGTTTTGTGTTTTTTTTTTTACCTCTTGAGGTTTTTTTTTATCCTAAAATGCCTTATTTTAGTAATGAAATGAAAATGATAGTAAAATATTAAGAGCCACAGTTAGTCTCTAGGGCAAGATTTGTTTCTACATTGTCTGCTGTAATCTATGCTGTAAGTGGGGAATAAGATTTAACATTTTGTCTTATTTGAGGTAACTCACAGCAAAAAGTTAATAAAATAGAAAATTGGGCCCAAGGGGAAAATGAAGGCAATGAACATGCTAACCATAAGTAGTTTAAAATTGACTGGTTGAGCAAAAATTGAACCTGGAGTGACCTGGCTGACAGACCATATATAAAAAAAGGAAAACCATTTAACAGGAAACATAGTTGGAGAGATGGGATTTTCAGTTGCTTTAATTTTAAATGAGTCTTACCTGGAATTATATGGAGTGTAATGTTTCATGTCATTCACTAAATTTCGGGGTAAATTCAGGGACGGATTTTGGCTATCAAGTGAGGCAGCAATACAGCAAATTTAAAAGTTTAAAGTTTAAAATCTAATGCACCAACAGTGACAAGTATTAACATTGATAAATTCAGTGGTAGGTCTATATACATGTTACCAGTACCACCTTGGCAGTATTTGTGGCGGAAAGGTTTGGGATGGGGGGACCAGAAGAAGTATTAAATTTTGGAGGAAGTATATTGGGTATATAAGAAAGTCTCAGAAAGGGGAATAAGAAATAGTCTATTCCTAAACAGAAATGGGTTGGATAGAAGATCCATCAATTGGGATGATTGCCTTATAAAGCATACTTTTATATTAAAATAAGGATCTTTCTTGGGTAAAAAAAGGCAAAGCAAAATAGGAGATCTTAGAGCATAGCATAAGCCTGACTGGCAAAAAACTAATACTAAGATGAGTTTAATATTTTAGTTTGATTTACTTTACTTAGAATAAGTTTCAGTGAACTGTAAATTTTAATTTATCAATTTTAATCTTCATCTTTGTCTCAGACTTACCTCCAATTAAGAAAAACTTTTATAGGCAATCAGAAACAACAAGTTCAATGTCACAAGAGCAAGTAGACTCATGGAGGTAGGTATTTTTATTTATTTATATAGTTACTCAGGCAAACATTTGAAGTGATTGCGTTTGAAGACTACCTCTGGTATTCACGTGAACTTGGTTGCATCCTATGTGATGTATTTTAGGGCATCAGTATCAATGAAACCTTCTGCAAAGATGAAAAAGGGCTACATTTGTGTCTAGTTACTAGCTATTGAATGCTTAATATATGGCTAGTTAGGATTAAGGAACTGAGTTTTCGATTTAAAGTTAATAAGAGACTTGTGGTTAGTGCCTGTATTGGACAGCAGTTTTAGAGAATTATTTCTACAACTGTTGAAAATCATAAGTTGGTTTGATGCATTTCTTATTCTTTAATGCTTAATATCTTGAATTAAAGGTCCTAGGAGTAATATTTGTTTCTATCAAAGTATTATAAAACTAAATATGGTATAGCAGAAAGAAGTTATTCTAGGGTTGGGGTAGTACCCAGACTTGGACAAGTAACTAATTATCAACTGTCATGAGAATTAATCCTATTTGACAGTATCTTTGAGGATAAATTAAGAAAATATGTGGAACATTGTAGAGTTTTGTGTAGGACAAGTCTGAGTTGAATCACGAAGTGTGTGATTTCAGGCTCTATTCACCTTTCCATGAAATTTCAGTGGCCCATTCATACAATGTAATTTTTTCCCTTTCCATTAACTGATCTGATAAAAAGATGGGCTCACTTCTATTTAGCTACATTTACTGTAGCTTTACAGTTCCAGTTGCAGTTGAATTTCTAGATATGGTGAAATAATGCTGGCAAAAATTTTTTGTCTGGGCGCCTTTGTCAGTTAAGTATATGCCCCTTCAGCTCAAGTAATGATACCAGGGTCTTGGAATTGAGCCACGAGGTGGTCTCACTTCTCCGGTGGGAAGCCTGCTTCTCTCACCTACCCACTCAAGCTCTTGCTATCTCTCTCTTAACTCGAATAAAAACTCTTTAGTAAAAAATTTCTTGTGTGGGGAATAAAGGTGACCAAAGATGCTAATATTTGTATTTTTCCTTAAAGGAAAGAAAATAATAATATAATGTGCGATGACTTAAAAGAAGGCGAAAAGCGCCGTATACCCAATCCTACTTGTAAATTTGAGGATGCTTTTCAATATTATCCAGAAGTTATGGAAAACTTTAAAAGGGCAGGGTTTCAAAAACCAACGCCAATCCAGGTATGCTTTAATTCCAGTATTATACTGATGCCCTCCCACAAACAATACCTAATTATTAGAAGTTAAATCTCCAGAGAGTAAATATCCCTTATGAACAGTCTCCCGGTACCCTCCTGTACCACCAGTGCATAGAAAGGTCTTAAAAGTTTGGGGTTAGGGGGCCCTGGGTGGCTCAGTCCATTGTGTCTGCCTTCAGCTCAGGTCATGATCTCAGGGTCCTCAGAGCAAACCCTGAGGTGGGCTCCCTGCTCAGCAGGGGCTCTGCTTCTCCCTCTCCTGCTGCACCCCCTGCTTTGTGCTTGCTTTCTGTCATAAAATCTTAAAAAAAGGTTGGGCTTGGAAGAGGAGGGGCACTTGACTAAAATGCACTTTTTTTAAATGCACTTTTAATTTAATATAAATCTTTATTTTTTAGTCACAGGCCTGGCCAATAGTTCTACAAGGAATAGATCTCATTGGAGTAGCTCAAACCGGAACGGGGAAGACGTTGTCTTATTTAATGCCAGGATTCATTCATCTTGACTTACAGCCTGTGTAAGAATTTCTACAGCTGGGTTTTTTATAGGGGGTTCATAGATATAGATACTAAAAATGCAAGTTTCTTTGTGTTGCATTGGTCAAAGAGTAATGCCTAGCCTCTGGGAATTGCACCTGCACCATGCTGGTGAGAGTAGAAATTGTCAAAACATTTTTAGGAAGTAATGGGTAGTCTTAATAGTCAGTCATTAGAGTGAAGTACTGGAAACTTTTCAGTTATGTCCATTACAGTTGTGTGAGAATCTTGACACAGGAAAGCACTAATGATGTTAAATGAAAAGGCTGGTATTTTGGACCCTTAGGTGTGCCGTTCAGTATTTTTCCACCTTTGGTGGTACATGTAACTTTTAACATCTGTTCTTACAAATTCTGAAACCACTGAACGTACTATGTGTCTGAGACAAGTACTTTAATAATTATTTTCTCTCCAAAGAATTAGAGAAAAAAGGAACGGCCCCGGCATGTTAGTCCTCACACCCACGAGGGAATTAGCGCTTCAGGTAGAAGCTGAATGTTCTAAGTATTCGTATAAAGGCCTTAAAAGGTAAAGTTATCTTTTCACTCTTGTGTCAGCACTTTAATAATTCGTAGTTTTATACATCCCCATTATTTTTCACACACTGAGATCATCTGAATGGCTTAGCATGGGTCAAGCATTACCCCAGTTCAAATCAATGGTAGCCAGGGCTGTGAAGTCAAGTAACAGCGATGCAAACATTGCTCTTTAGGACACATCACCATGGGGTAGTGGGAGTGATGGGTGTGGCTTGGTATCAGAATGGGGCAAAACTACCCAGAGGGTATTTGATACTCTTTCTGACTTACATACCTTTTATACCCCAAATGTTTCGGTTGGTTGGGATTTTACGTTGTGATGGAACATTCCTTACCTGAACCTCATTTTTTTTAAGTGTGTGTATATATGGTGGTGGAGATAGAAATGGACAAATACAAGACCTGAAAAAAGGAGTAGATATTATTATTGCAACTCCTGGGAGGCTGAATGATCTACAAATGAATAACTTCGTCAACCTCAAAAGTATAACTTACTTGGTAAGGGTTTGGGAAACTAAGAGGAAGAACTGAACTCTTACTGAATTCTTATGATTTTATTAAGTAATCTCTGCATCCAATGTGGTGTTAAAACTTAATCCTAAAATCAAGTCATATGCTCTACCGACTGAGCCAGCAGGGCACCCCAGAACTGAACTATTAAAATAAGTATTTTAGAATGATTGGCCATTTTATAATGGTTTCAAATCCTAGGAATTTCCATTCCCTCTAGTGTGTTAAAATAAGGGTTTTAAGAATTCTATTTTAATGTTTAAAAGTTGGAAAATGTAGACAAGTAGAAAAGACAATCTATGGATTTTATTTAAACATTTATTTTAGAGAGCCCATATAAGCAGGGTAGGGGCAGAGGGAGAAGAACAAGCAGACTCTGGCACTGAGCACAGAACCCCTCATGGGGCTTGATTCCATGATCGCAAGATCATGACCTGAGCCAAGAGTAAAACTTAACCAAATGAGCCACCCAGGCACTCCTCCATGTGGATATTTCAGACATTTACATTTTTTCATTAGATCTAGAAATAGCCAACTTAAAAAATCAAACCAATCTGTTAAAGCTCTGGATCTTATTTAGTATTGAAGAAACCAAAATAGTGGCTTAAGTAATAGGGAAATGAGAGAATTACTGTATCATAGTATTATGTTCAGCCAGAACATCCTTATCTAATGTGGCCACTATCATTTTTAATGCAGGTATTAGATGAAGCTGACAAGATGCTAGATATGGGATTTGAACCCCAGATAATGAAGATTTTGTTAGATGTGCGCCCAGATAGGCAAACCATTATGACAAGGTAGGTATATGCCTAATTGCTGTACTGCAAATTAGAAATCAGTGGACTGGACTAAATTTTTGCAGATTTCCCCAGAGGATTTGAGCCTTGAAAGTATTTGAGATCCTTAGGTAAAAGGCATGTTATCACTTAGTATAGTAGCTCAGTGTAACGGTGTAACAGTAACTATTAGATTTCTTTAAGTTACAGACATTGTTATAAAAATTTGCCAGGACCTCTCCCTGGAGGGGAGATGTTTCATAGTGGAGGGCCTCAGGTTTGATCACCTGTGCTTAGCTAAACCTTTGATTACTGTACATTTTTTTGCACAAGATAAAACTGAAACGATTTTAAAATCTTACTTGAGAGAGCATGAGTGAGTATAAGTGAGAGGGATAAGCAGAGTATAAGCAGAGGGAGAAGGAGAAGCGGACTCCCAACTGAGCAGGGAGCCTGAGGCAGGGCTCAATCCTAGGACCCCAAAATCACGACGAGTGGAAGGCATCCACCAGACTGTGCCACCCAGGTGCCCCAACAATACTTAAATGCAGTGTGATCTATAGACCTGGGCTTATATAATCTTTGTGCCATTAATATAAAAAGCATATAATTGGGGAAATTTGTTTCCTCATTCTTTAATACACTCATTTGTTTCCCTAACTTTCTACTGTTACTACTGTAAAAGTACAAAAGGTGATTGATTTCATGATATGTAGGTGAAGAAACATTTGAATTTATATGTCCTTCCATGCCTTTATTTTAACTAAGCACTTGGTTTTTTGCCTGACAATGGTGACAAAACTACTAGGCTTTTAGTTTTTTTTTTTACAACGCCAGTGATTCATTTTAGATTAGAATTCAAATTAGATTTTAAGGTATAGATCTCCTTAACCTTTGGTTTATAAACCTATTTGTTAAACTTAAAGGTTTCATCTAGTAGCTTCACTATACTTGAGCAATTCTTTGAAGTATTTTCTGTGAAATCTCCCTTATTCAAAAATAACTCTTTGTCTTTCATGGGTAATCTGATTCATAGTATTCTTTGAGAAACTTAATGGATTTATAATCTTGACATGTTTTATTTCCAGTGCAACCTGGCCATGTGCTGTCCGTCGACTTGCACAGTCATATTTGAAAGCACCAATGATTGTATATGTTGGCACTTTGGATTTAGTGGTGAGCTTGTTTTTTTTAAAAAATATTAGGAAAATTTACCTTGTGTTTTGGCATGTCTACTCACTCCCTAATTAGAGAAGACCCTAGATACGTCATTTTACTCATAAGTACTTCAATATACATCTGAGGGTAATCTTAACATTCCTGTACTGTTATGTGACATCTAAAACTTTAATGATCCCTTAATACTATAAATATCTAGTCCTTGTTCCTATTTTCTTAATCAGGTTATAAACTAGGTCAACATCGGTGCACGTAAGTCTGTTCTCTTGGTGAGGTTATGATGATTGGGTTCAGATGTTGGTAATTATAAAGGTCTCTGTATCCCCTCCATTATAAAGCTATCTGGCTTTTCACTTAAATCGAGATTGGCCTTTCAATTCATTAGTGAAATGACTAGTGAAATGACATTTTACTTACCAGTAACAGTGATAGGTCATTGCCTAGGTTGATTTCATTAGATTTCATGGAAAGTGAGGCTAGATAGGTCATTCTTTACATTCACTAAATGCCATTAAAATCTATATTATCTGGGTTGAATTATATCAATGATAATTTGTCCAAATTAAAAACTCTTTTATCCTAAGCTAATCATCTTCCTTTGTAAGGACTGTCCCCAAAGTCATGACAATTTGGCTTTACTCCATGGTTCTCTTACAACAATAGTAACCAATTGCTTTCAACACTGCCAAGCATTCGTTTCCAACTCAACTTGGATAAGAAGCAAAAGCCTTAGGTGTACAAATCCTTGAGTAGATATAGATCATTTTAACAGGACCTTTCTCTTTCCTGTTAGCAATTAAAACTTAACCAGTGATAGAAATACATGTCTTCTGAACCAATGTAGAAGGCTCGTGTGTCAATTTTGATATACTGTGATCTTTACTCTTTAGGCTGTAAGTACTGTAAAACAGAATATAATTGTCACCACGGAAGAGGAGAAACGCTCTCATATCCAACGTTTTCTGGAAAGCATGTCTTCTCAGGACAAAGTCATAGTGTTTGTCAGCCGAAAAGCCATGTAGGTATTTTTTTACATCCTTAAATCATCAAATTTGCTTAGCATTAGCTCTGTTTTAATGCTAATCTCAAATGGGATATGCATGTCTTACATAATGTTATTTCAGTCTTTTGCTAATGGAAGTAAAACTAATGAATTGATAGTGGTATTTGAAGTAGAGTTCACTGACTTGATCTTTTGCTTCAGTGCTGACCATTTATCAAGTGACCTGATTCTGCGACATGTATCAGTAGAATCTCTTCATGGCAATCGAGAGCAGTGCGACCGAGAGAGAGCATTAGAAAACTTTAAAACAGGTACATTTATACAATTAGTATATTGCAACTTAAGGGTACAATGCCTGGGTTTGGTCATGGAACCCACTTGAAAGATCTATCCTCAGCTTGCAGATACCAAAACTACTTGCTAGAGCTCTATTCATCAGATCTTTAGAACTATCGAAACTCAAAGACCAAATATTAATATGTTTGCCGCTGAAGTGAGCACTGAAAGATCAAATATTTAGAATTGGATATGAAGTTTGTAGTGGGGTTATTTACACTAATTTACCTGAAAGGCACATATCTTTGTGGTTCAGATGATTCAGGGATTGTTTATTTATGGTTTTTAAATGGATTTTATTAATGAGACACAGGCAGAGGGAGAAGCAGGCTCCTCGCTGGGAGCCCCATGTGGGAACAAGATCATGCCATGAGCCAAAGGCTCAACTGCTGAGCCACTCAGCCGTCCCTCGCCAGCAAGTTAAGAGACTATAAATACTCCTTTGTCATTCTTATGCTTACGTGTTTTAATCGATTAAATTTGGGGAGAAAAGTATACATTTCTGCTATATTTTGGGTTGGTTTATGTTAGAATGTATATTGTTTTTGGTTTTGTTCTTTAGGTAAAGTAAGAATATTGATTGCCACCGATTTGGCATCAAGAGGTCTCGACGTCCACGATATCACACATGTGTATAATTACGATTTCCCCCGGAACATCGAAGAATATGTACACAGAGTGGGGCGTACTGGAAGAGCAGGGTCAGTAGTCTACCTATGAAAGAAGCCAACTATCAGGGCTCCCTTCAGAGTATTCTTAGCTAGAAAATACTTTTTTTATCTTGCCTGTAAATCGTCTGTGACACCCGCTTTGCTACTTTACCCCTGTCTAATTGGCCTGGATTCAACCAGACCCCTCTGATTAGCTGCAGCTTTCTTACTGTTTTGCTTTCTAGTGTCACATTGAACTCTCCCCCAGTGGTTACTCTATTGTCCTTGAGTAAGAGGCTCTTCCCCATGAAAAGCACAACTGTCAAATCCTCCACAAACATGCTATTTAAATAGCTCCAGGTTGAGATTCCAAGTTGCTGTTTGAGTGATGCTAACTTAATGCATAATGCACATTTGGGCTTGTGAAAGTTGAGGTTTTGATATTACTTTTAGTGTTTTGCTAACTGAATCATGAGTATAAATCAAGTAACATGAGTCACCCCCCCACCTCTTTTATAGGAAGACAGGGATATCTATTACACTCCTCACCAGAAATGACTGGAGAGTTGCTGGCGAGTTAATCAATATTCTGGAAAGAGCACATCAGGTGAGATTATACAACTAAGAACTCTTTTAAGAACCCTATCTTATGACTCCTAAATTTCATTTCAGTCACAGAATCCTTCCAGTCATGACATGACATTTTTCCAACAATGGAAAATGTCTCCTTGCATGTTAAACTCAACCTATCTTCAAGCTAGAAAACCAGACTGCCCCTAAGCTTCCCTGATGCTACACCACTCCCTGCTCACGTAAACCTTCAGTTGCTTCCCAGTATGCTTATCATGCATTAACTGGTGCATGAATGAAAGTTGTTACTCTGAAACTTCATTCCCAGTAACACGTTATATTTCAGAGCATCCCAGAAGAACTTGTGGCAATGGCTGAGAGGTATGAGGCACATAGACTAAGAAAAGAAACGGAAAGAAAGTTGGGGAAACCCCAAGGAAAACCCAAGAAGTTTTATTAGTCTCCTTGTTGAAAAGTTGTGCCAGCCTATTCAAAGGTAAGATTTAAATAATGCTTTCAAATGACTGCTTTCCTTATTAACTACACTGTTAGAGATAATTGCAATAGATACACTAAGAGTAACATAATAAATTAGGGGTAATTCTGTTACCTACATTCCAGTTAATCTTAGATTAAGTATTGCCAGAGTTGACAACTAAGTTGTACAGAAATCTGAGACACCTGGGTGGCTCAATGGTTGAGCCCCTGCTTTCGTCCTGGGACATGGTCCTGGAGACCTGGGATCAAGTCCCACGTCAGGCTTCCTGCATGGAGCCAGCTTTTCCCTCTGTCTCTTCCTCTGTCTCATAAATAAAATCTTAAAAAAAAAAACCTTAGAGTATAATGGAGTTGATGGAGATAGAAATTGCACATACTAAGATTCATAGCAACATTTGTGCTAGGAAAAGACTAGGGGATTTAAAATACATCACTCTGGGCTCATCACAAGTGTCCTCCTTAATCCCTGTCACTTACCCATGCCCCCACCCACCTCCCCTTGGGTAACTCAGTTCTGTATAGTTTAGAGTCTTTTTTTTTTTTAAAGATTTAATTCACTTATTCATGAGAGACACAGAGGGGCAGAGACTCAGGCAGAGGGAGAAGCAGGCTCCATGCAGGGAGCCTGATGTGGGACCCCATCCTAGGACCCAAGGATCACACCCTGGGCTGAAGGTGTCGTTAAACTGCAGAGCCACCCAGGCTGCCCTGGAGTTTTTTCCCTTTGCTTGTTGAAACTCCCCACATGAGCAAAATCATGGTATTTGTCTTTTTCAGACTTTGCTTAGCATAATTCTCTAGCTTTGAGGATAGATTTATGCAAATCATATCAGATAAAGGATTAGTACCTATAATATAGAGCTGAAACCGAATAAGAGCAACCTGATTAAAAATTGAACAAAGGACTTTTCTACAAAATACGATATACAAATGGCCAACAAGCACGAGAAGATGTTCAACCTCACTAATCATTGTGATAACCTCACAACTTAGAACAGCTACTATTGAATAGCTGCCATCAGTTTTGGCAAGGATGTGGAGAAATTGGAACTGTTCTGCCTTTATCGATGGGAATGTAAGGTGTATCCACTGTGTCGGAATATGTGGCTCTGGCTTTTAAGCCTCTGCCTTCCTCTTGGGTCATGACCCTAGGGTCCTGGCATCAGGCTCCCTGCCTGGTGGGGAGTCTTTTATTCTGCCTGCCACTCTGCATGTGCTCTATGTGAGGGCAATCCAGGCATGAATGAATGGATGAACAAGTAGGCCTGTCAAGCGGAATTCTGACCTTTGGCTCAATGAGTAAACCTTAATGACACTATACCTTCGTCAAGGACAAATATTGTATAGTTTCTCGCTTTAAGGTGCCTAGAGTAGTCTGCCCACAGAAAGTAGAATGGTGGTTTTCAGGAGCCAAAGGGGGAAATGGGGAGATGTTAAATGGGTATAGGTCTTTAGTTTTACAAGATCAATTCTGGAGGTTGGTTATATTTAGAATGAGCATACTGAACATTAAACTGAATTTTAGTGATTAGAATATTTTTATAATGTGAATTTTATCGGTTGAAAATTTAAAGGCTTGGGAACAACAATATACATTTTTGTTTTTCAGATATCAAGATTTTTTTTAGAGCTACACTATTTAGAATATCCAGAAATACTGGGAAATGCTGGCACTATGAAGAGACAATGGATTCGTAAAAGAATAGTGTTTAAAAATGTAGAATTTAACATTTTATACTTTCTTTAATAAAATCAAAAGTGTTTAAACACGAGTTAAATTTTTTTCATGGATATTAAGGAAAGTAGCATTATATTTCACTTTTAATTATCCTTATTTAAAAAGTAAATCTTCCATAATGCTGTATTAAGGTCAGTCTTTGAAGAGTTTAGCCTGTTCTGATGTCAATGCAGTGGAAAAGATACTGGCAACGAATTTTTTTCTATGATAAAAAGATAAGCTGATCTATCTTATGAAAATGAATCCTTTCATTTTGTTGACAGTATTTTTTGGGGTGTACTTTTCTTAAGGGATTACACTTCTCCTAAATGAAACAATAAAAGGATTTCATGAGAAAATATGCAACAGCTCTTTTTTAAAGTTTCAGCCTATGGCTAAAATCCTCAGAAAGTAATTTATTTCTATTTTATATAAATTTATTTTTTATTGGTGTTCAATTTGCCAACATACAGAATAACACCCAGTGCTCATCCCGTCAAGTGCCCCCCTCAGTGCCCGTCACCCAGTCACCTCAATCCCCCGCCCACCTCCCTTTCTACTACCCCATGTTCGTTTCCCAGAGTTAGGAGTCTTCTCATGTTCTGTCACCCTCACTGATATTTCCCACTTATTTTCTCTCCTTTCCCCTTTATTCCCTTTCACTATTTTTTATATTCCCCTAATAAATGAGACCATATAATGTTTGTCCTTCTCCGATTGACTTACTTCACTCAGCATAATACCCTCCAGTTCCATCCACGTCAAAGCAAATGGTGGGTATTTGTCGTTTCTAAATGGCTGAGTAATCCATTGTATACATAAACCACATCTTTATCCATTCATCTTTCGACGGACACCGAGGCTCCTTCCGCAGTTTGGCTATTGTGGACATTGCTGCTATAAACATTGGGGTGCAGGTGTCCCGGCATTTCACTGCATCTGTATCTTTGGGGTAAATCCCCAACAGTGGAATTGCTGGGTTGTAGGGAGTAATTTTATTTCTGTGAAAGCTTTGACAAATCACATTTTCCTACTTTAGTTTTGTAGTTTTCTGTATGTTATAGTTGCTTCTATTAACACATAGTGTTTATACAGGTAGTTTATATTTGTGTGATAGTTTCTTGGCATAGACACCTTGATCTGAGGATGCCCTGGATCATAGTAAGAAAGGGTGATGCCCAAGTGATGTGCTGTTAACAAGCCTAAGACTGGGGAAGCTGGCTGAAAGCCGTGAATCTAGGTTCTGGCTTTCTATTCTGTGTTGCAATAGACTGGGAACCAATGTGTGATTGCACTACCACTTTCCTGGGACAGGTTCAGCAAAAGGCAGAAACCTGGTGAGCCACCCCCGACCCCCCAGGAGAAACAGTCAAGGTCTGCACTGTGGGAGTCCCTAAAATTTGGAGTTTTGAAACTCAGTCCTATGCCTAAGAACAAAAAGCTCAGATGCAGGCAGGGTGAACAGAGTTCTGAGAAACCGGGGAGACAAGAGTGATTGCTCTTCTGTGAGGGCTCACTGAAGATGGGGCTAGAGAGGGGATACTGCCGAGTTTACCCTCATCAGTACTGAAAGCCTTCAGGGAGCAAAACAGCACCACCTAGTGAAATCTGGAGCTGCTTGCACTAAGCCCTGCCTCCCTGTGAACTGGAGGCATATTTCTACCAGGGCAAGTCCACCTAAGAACCAGTGCAACAGACCCTCCAGAAGACTGGCACAACTCACTTGGACCAAGTTTACTGATCATAGAGGACTGCAAAGCTTCAGCTCTAGAGGAAAATAGTATCTAGCATCTTTGTGCTTTTATTCTTTAGGGTTTTTTCAATTTTTTCAATTCTTTTGCTCTTATCAATTCTTATATACTTTATACTTGAATTTTTTCCTTTTCATTGTATTTTCATAAGATTCATTATATATAAATACTAGCTGGGCTTGGAATAAGAATAAAAGACACTAAAGAATCCCTTATCAAAGTAAGAACTAAAATCTAGTCGGGCCAAAATTAAAGATGCTATAACTGAGAAGCAGTGCCAAGTGAAGCCTATAAAGATGAGGGCGAATGAAGTGGCAGAGTGAAGCAGTGATAGAGAAGGAAAAGTTATGGGAAATATAGAACCGGAAAAGAAAACTATCAGATCACAAAGGTAGACTTAGGGAACTCAGTGGCTCAATAAAGCAAAATAATATCCTGATTACAGAAGTCTCAGAAGAAGAGCAGGAGACAGGGACAGAAGGTTTATTTGAACAAATTATAGCTGAGAACTTCCCTAATCTAGGGAAGGAAACAAGCATTCAAGTCCAGAGGAGAGAATTCCTCTCCATGAACAAAAATGGGTCAACACCATGACATATTAGAGCCAAACTTGCAAATTACAAAGATAAAGAGAAAATTCTGAAAGCAGCTCAGGACAAATGGTCCTTAACCTAAAAGGGTAGACACATCAGGCTGGCAGCTGACTTGTCCACAGACCTGGCAGGCCAAAAGGACTGGCATGATATATTCAATGTGTTAAATGGGGAAAATATACAGCCAAAAATACTTTACCTACCAAGGCTGTCATTCAGAATAGGAGTGATAGTTTTTGAGGAAAAAAAAAACTAGAGGAATTTGTGGACACTAAACCAGCCCTGCAAGAAATATTAGAGACCCTTTGAATGGAAAGATGGATCAAAAGTAACAAAGACTAGAACAGGGACAATATACAGGAACAGCAAATTTATAGGTGATACAATGGCAGTAACTTCATATCTTTTAATAGTTACTCAGAATGTAAATGCACTAAATGCTCCAATCAGGGTATCAGAATGGATTTAAAAATAAGACCCATTAATAGGCTGCTTACAAGAGACTCATTTTAGCCCCAAAGACACCTCCAGATTGAAAGTGATAGGGTGGATATCCATTTATCATTCCAATGGAGATCAAAAGAAAGCTGGAATAGCCATCCTTTTATCAGACAAATTAGATTTTAAACATAAGAGATAAAGGTCACTATATCATAAAGGGTCTATCCAACAAGATATAACAATTGTAAATATTTATGCCCCTAACTTGGGAGCAACCAAACATATAAATCAATAACGAACCTAAAGAAACTAATTGGTAATACAATAATAGTGCAGGACTTTAACACTCTACTCACAGCAATGGACAGATTATCCAGGCTGAAGATCAACCAGGAAATAAGGGCTTTGAACAACACACTGGACTAGATAGACTTAACTTACATAATCAGAATATTTCATT